AGCGGTTTCGAACTGAAACAAAATTCAAAACAAAACATGGTTCTGTCGAAACGCAAGTCAAAATGGAACGGTGCCATTTTGCAAAGCCCTAATATTTATCCAACCGGGCCAAGAAGAGTATTTTAGACTTAACTCTGGATTTTATAGCTTTTGGCACAGTTTGTGGCACAACTTTAACCTTTTTCCCAGTATTTTATGGTAATTTAGCACTTTAATCCAAAACTGGGTGAAATGCAACAGTCCAGCTACATCCAACAAGCATCTAATACAAGTCTAGAGGAAGGATGTGTAAGTGGCCTTTGACCTCCCTGTTTTGAACCTGTTTTGTACCAAGCAAATCCCATCTGCAACTCAGAACAACCTAAAGGCCACTCTAAATTACACTATATTAAAGAAAGGTGGGTACAACAGCCAGGGATCAGCAGAACGTTGATATGTCCTGGCCAAATCCTTAGCGTCAGCAATAAGGAGATGGTGAAAGTTTTTCTGCTTACTCTAAGCTACTGATGGATCACCCTGCATTACAGTGATCCTTGTAGAGCCAAAACTACTGCCTTCGGGACATAACCGTAACCAGCTTAGCATCAATTCCTATACTCCAATGTTTAATTAAGACATTTTCTTATTCCTATTTGATTAACTGAATTTCATGAAGGAATATCAGATTCTAGAAGTCAAATCAGTTTCTATTGACAAGGTAACCATTGATTTTACTTGGTAACAGTAGATTAGGCAAAGGCACAATGGCCAGGAAATCTCTCTTGTAGCTCTAGCAACTGTCATCCGCTATTACTTTACAGACTGTTTGCATGTATCTGATAAGAATAAGATTGGCTGATATTGACAGATACATTCAGAAATATGTCATGCTTGAAAGCAAAGATGCATGCTTCAGCTATCGTTAATGTATCTGCTTCAGTCAGTTATACCAATGCTGATCACCTGCACGTCTGGAGTTACTCCAGATTTACAGCAGCATGAATCAGAGTGGAATTTGTCCCTGTATGCTTATGCTAGAACACAATTATCAAGTTTATTTTGATAAGGTTGGACCTTAAAAGTCCCTAAAGGGCCATCTGTAAAGCAAATCAGAAGGACTGTAGGGCTAATCATAGGATCTTAAACTGACAGAGATTTAATCATATATCTTTAAAAACCTTAATGACACTGTGGGGTATGACAATGCCAATTATTTGCCTCCATGCTAGAATGCCACTGCATAAACAAATGTGAGCAGTTTGAAGGCCACATGACTTAAGAAAAGTTCAAAGGACTTTTTATTTCAATCTGGTTTGCAGGCAAGCATAACAATGACAATTACTTCTAATTAGTTAGTGCTTTCCAAAATGAGTGTGGAAGAGCTGAAATTGACTGAAGACAAAGCTAGCTAGAAGAGGCTGAGCATGCTCTTGAAAGAGGCTGATCATCCTCCATTGATTTCAACAGGAGCTGAAATTACTCAGCAGTTTTCAGGATCAAGTCTGCAATGAACAGGATGTGCTTTTGCACAGAAGAGGTGCCCAGAATTCTAATACGATCTTAAGGAGGGCCCACACTGCCAAAATGGTTGCAGCCAGAACATGTGCATATATGTGTATTCATTTTCTTTTTCTCTCTCCCAGCCCCTCAATATTGTGTGTGTGTGTGTGTGTGTGTGTGTGTGTGTGTGTGTGTGTGTGTGTGTGTGTAGGGGGGGGAAGAGAGAGAGAGAGAGAAAATTAATACACACGCACATAGGAAAAAGGAGCAGTTGTTGCTTGCAGTTTAAAAACTGAAGATTCCTAGCTGGAGTGACATATTTGCACAGAATATCCATCTGCCCTACTGCTCTACATTGTAGAGATGTCTGCAAAGCACAGAAATATAAAATTTGTCAAAGGAACTGGGAGAAGAAGTTGGCTTGCAGTTGCTGCTCTTTCATGCACTGTAATTAGGTTTCCTTACCATTTTCCTTCACCCCATTAATCAGGATAGTTTCTTGGTCTTCTGAGGCACAATCCTTATCTTGTTGGTCATCCATCAATTTAACCTCTCTTTGTTCATTCCATGCCCCACTGCATCTGGCCAACCTGTACATTTCCAAAAACATAATCACCATCATTAAAATTCCTGAAATATGCTCACAGAACTGAGTAAAAGGAAACAATGCAAGCACCTGCTAACCCCATTTAAGAGGGCAAACTCCTGTTTATTATGGCCAGACAGCTATTATATTTCCACTTTTCCCCTCCAGAACCTCTCGGTCCAATGTATTTCATCCAACTTAAAAAGATGAGTTCTCATTTTTTCCCCAAATCCTTCTTTAGAGCTTCAAGCAATGCTTTTCACTTCTATAATGTCTTTCATATGATCTCCAATTGCTTTGAAAAGCAGGTAAGCACTATCTCCATTTGACAAATGGGCTAGCAGAGGCACTGGCAGAGGAGGAGACTAGCCCCAGGTCAAGCAACTCTGCAGCAGAGCCAGGAACAGGAACTCGGATCTCCTGACTGACAATCATATGCTCTAAATACTAGGTAACACTCTCTTCTTTCAAGTGTTGGCAGGTAGGGAACAAACTTGCCTCAGGAGTGTTATTAGAATGATATTTATTCACCATTCTCCTGCTTCATCACCAGGGGAGCTTTGCCTCATTGTCCAGCCACCTTGTGTTGTGCTCAAAATCCCACTAGGCCAGAATTCTCATTTTGGTTACACTCGCTTGATTCTACCATGGATGTTATGTACACCAAAATAAATTAGAGCCCCTCCCAAGTTAAAATGATCAGATGTGGGAAGAAAAGCTGACTATATCGCAGAGTAGTGTAGCTGAATCTCTGTACGCAAATAGGGTAGGAGCAATCTGGGCCAAAGCTCACAGCATCAGACATGACTTGCTGTGGATAAAGGTGGCAAATTTCTACCCTTAATTAATGAAAAATATAGTTAGAGTAATGTTTCCCTTGAAACATAACTTCAATTCAACTTTTAACCCCATGGAACAGGGACCAGATTGGAAATGGTTTGTTTTCCAATAAACATTTGTCAAAAGTCTGATCTTTCTGCTCCTCAGGCCTTGTTTTGACAAGCCTCATGCATATTCAGATTTTCAGTGGTGTCCTCTTACTTAATGTGAAATCTTTACAACCATCTCAACAAATGAGAACCTTCACTGAACCCTGAAGTGTTTTGTCACCCACCTTAAGATAAGAACAGCAACCCTCAGAAATGGAATTCCTCTGCATTTTCAGAGAAAAGTTGAACTAATACAAAGCATTCTACTTCAATGCAAATCCATATTTCAGAGCTGTCCAATGATGACCACTTGGCTAAAATGAGACTGTACTTTCACCAGTACCCACACTCTTCCCAACATCTCAGCTCCTTCTGTAGTTATTAAAAGGTTTTGTTCAGTGGGCCAGAAAGCCAAATAAAACCACCATCATACCCAAGAGACTTCCAGGATTTTTATTACATTTCTCCTGTCATAAAACATGCACCATTTGCAACATTTATAAGTAACTTTAAGAAGATAAGCCTGACAGATGCTCTACATTTTACAACAACAGACTGCAGCACCCTGTCTCCTGCTTGCTAAACATGTGCTCAGGAGATACAGACACTAAAGTAGTAAGTGAGTCACATAACTCTTTTGGAGCAAGCTGCTTGCTGTGTAAGGAATCTTCCGACCTAGACACATGACACCAGGATAATCCACCGTAATAGCAGCGTAAACAAGGAGTGGACACGCAGGTCTGGGACAGAAGTTTCATAAACCAATTTGACCTAAATCAGTTAAGTTTGATTCTACATTCAACCAGGTTGATCTCAAACTGGTTTCAGCTATTTTGAAACTGGTTTATGTGCACTGAGCTTCTGTTCTGTTACAAGTTTCAACCAGTTTCTGAACACTGAAACTGGTTTATGTGCAACTTCTGTCCTTAGTCACACTGTCTAGCCCTGCAGGTGTCACGTAGAAGAATCCAGTGTAGAGTTACTCCAGGAAAAATCAAGGAGAGGACAAAAACAGTTTAAACGTTTTGTGGCTGCTTCTATCCTGGAGTAGCCGTCTGTATAACACAAACTTGTTCTTACTTGCTCCCCCCACCACTTGGTTGCAAGGCTTTCTAGTAGCACTTTCTGTGGCAGACTCCAGGAGAATTTGTCATCCATCTGCTCTGGACACTGGAGTAATGCACATTATTAATGTACAAACACATCAAGGATTGATACTAAACAAAACCCTTGTGTCTGCCTAGTAGTTTTCCAGGTGGAATACACAAGTGCAGGGACTATTCTTGTCAATTAAGCACAGGTGATTATGGCTGAATGCCTGCACATTCAGTTGTGCACACTTCCACATATTTGAACTGTCCGCTTACAGCAGGGCTGTCCAACTAGCAGCCCATGGGCCACATGTGGCACCCAAAGGGTTAGCATGTGGCCAGTGGGCTCACAGGATGAGGACCCCCTCCCCATTGCTCCTGCTGTGGCAGCCAGATTCTTCAGGCTCCCCTGCCCCTCCAGCTTCTACTTCCTGCCCCCTGCCCTTGGGATCTGGAAGGGGCTGGGTGCCCAAGCTACATGCATGATGGGCCAGGTTGCTTGCTTTGCACGTAAAAAATTCAGGACCCAGGCTACCTGCACTGCAGGTGGATGCATGGCTTGGAGGGGAGGGGGTGCTGTGTCTGTGGCTGAGGGGAGCCAGGCTGTCTGTGCTGCAAGGGGAGAAGGGGTAGTGCGTGGCCGGGAGTCAGGGGAGCTGGGCTGCTTATGCTGTGTGTATGGGGCGGGGGGGAAATGTCTCCACTAGGCTGCCTGTGTGTCAGGGGAAAGCCTGGAGAGGGCACCTGCATGGTGAGCACCCCTCTGTCTGCGGCCCCACTGGGACCACAGGGCACGTGCCCCTTGGTTTACCAAAAGCTGGACAACCCTGGCTTACACAATCAGTTAAGGCACCCCAAGTGTATGTGTGCAAATGATCTCACACTCAGACATGCCTTTGGAATATGGCATGTTATAATAAATGCCCCCCCCCCCCCATATCTACTACAATCTCGGTAAGTGAGGCTAGGGATACCCCAGTTTACACAATGGCCAATTAGTGCCAGATTGAGAAGCTACAGCAGGCACCTGGCAGGCACGTCCATTCCCTGCACTGAAGAGAACGACACTCTGAGGGAGAAATCAGCTCTGTGTATTTAACTGCATTCTCTATAAACCTCCCTTCATAAATTAGCTGCCTTCCTAGACTGCAAGTTCCTCAAGGCACAGACCATAATGCAGCTTCCGTCCTGACTGGAGTCTCTGACTCCTACCATCAATTAAATATTGAATAATACTAGCTTCACTCTGTGCGGGAATCCTTGCTATACTGCAAGTGAACTAAATATTAAGTACCGACAAGAGTTATGAGACACTGCTTGGCTTTGTCCCATTACTCCATGCACAGAAGAGCACAAGTGACCTGGTTCCTGAAGGGGCAGGGAAGGGAGGATGCCAGTGCTGGTGCTGAAACATGGTAACTCTCTGCCAGCTTTGCAGATTTGGGTTCTGGTAAAGTGACTCAAGCTCTGACGCCGTCTCTTCTATTTTGCTGCATAGTTAAGAGATGTAGAGACTAGACTCCAACAACAGTTGCTTCATGCTTTGCCAAGCTGATTTTTGCCCAAATGTACCTGTTTATGCCAATGTGGTGTAAAATGCCACAGGTGGTCTCAATTCAACTAGTAGCATAATCACAGCCCTACTAAAATAATGGCTTGCAATGAATAAATCATAGAACAAAAGTATAAACAATAATTCTCAAATAATGTAAATTTGTCACTTGCCATGAATGCCGCATGTCTCTGGAGAGAAAACAGTAACACAAGCACAAAGCACTAATATGCTTGGAAACAATGACATGGGGCCTTTATTAAGAAGACCCCAGACCATCACCACGGGGAGCCGTCCTTGGGGAGGGAGGTGCCAATCATTGTTCCTAGAAAGTAAGCCAACGTGTCCATCTGTTGCTCAGTGCCTGGTTATTATTTGCAGGGTCTGTGGTTTGATTGTGAAACGTTGCGAGTTCAGCAACAACACTCTCGACACTCCTGTGTTGACCTAACAGTTATTTATTATTATAACTCTCTGGAATCATATCCAGGTGGATCCTAAACAATGGCCCTCTGTATATATATACAAAACTTATACTCGCTCTGTCGCTGACCTTGGCCTGGCCCAGTCCCGGTGAGTGAGAGGAACCAACAAAATGTCCCCTGGCTCTTCATGGCAGCGAACAAGGAGTCACCAGTGCTGCAAAAACTGCCAGGAAGCAAACTGAACCCTGCAGTGCTGAAAATGAGGGCTTTGGTCTTAAAGGAACAGTACAAAGAAAATACACTAAGATGCAACAGATTGCAGTCCTGACTCAGCTGGCTTGGGGTGGGGGCATCATGTGAGAGGCCTTTCAGTTGCAGATGTATGGCAGGCTCCTTGCCTTTGATCTTTGTGAAAGACAATTAGCTGTCAAAGTCAAGGACTGGCATGTGGAGAAGGGTTGGAATTTCTCTAAGTCAAAAGTACAGAAGCTATCTGAAATCTACATCCCAAGAAAAGGGAAAGCACTTGGAAGGAGGGACACTGAATCTCACTGGATGCATAACCATCTCAAAAAAAGTAGTGAAAGCAAGCAGAAAGGCAAATGGAATGGAAAAAGGGTCAAAGTAAAAGTATAAGTGGAATGGAAAAAGGGTCAGCAAGTAAAAGCTACCTTGTAGGGGTCAAGAAGGATAAGAATAAAGTTGCAGCTGCTAAAAGATAAGCTCAGGTAGACAGTGCAGAGGAAATTCAAACAAATAGCAAAAGGCTCTTTAGCCACATTAAAGAGAAGAGAAAAAGGAAAGAAGTCGGGCGACTGTGAGTGAGCATGGGACACAGATTAAAGTTAAATCTAAGAATGGCTCAAACCCTAAATGAATACTTTTGCCTCCGTTTTCAGTAGGACAATGATGTCAAACATGAGGAAGATTCGCAGTGGTTAATGGGCAGGAAGGTATCAGAAATAGGAATTGCCATATCTGAAGTAGAAACCAAACTCAAGACTTTT